AAGAGACGCACAACCGATGATAGTTCGCCTACACGCATAATGCGTCTTGTGCCTGTCTTTATACTGAGGTTGTAGAACCAGACGAACAATAAATGCTGATAGTTCGTCGGATTATTCGTCCTGTCTTTATACTAGACGAATATAGAAGACGGATTATGCGTCCAGACGCATAATGCGTCTCTAGTATAAAAACGGCCAATTAATGAATGTGAAGTTTGTGTTGCATAATATCTGTTGGGCCATTTTTTTTTCAACACAGATTTGAATTTGTCAAAAGTTCTGGTACGAACATTGTACCCATGCATCTTCCACCTGGGCAAGAACGGAGCGCAAGAGTGATCAAACATGTTTCTGGACAGGGCCCAATTTACCTAAGGGCTTTAGAAGATCTTTTTAATGAAAATGTATGTTATTGCAGTGATCTCAAGTGCATATTATTAAAATGTGTGTGAAGACCAACACTATAGGACCACTCTCTGTCTCTGTGGATGGTTAGTTCTCCCAAAGGCAAACATTTGAATGGCATGTTTGTATCCATGGACAGAAGATTGTAGGGAGAATGCTTTTGCATTTCAACCAAGCACTTTACACATTCCATTCAATTCCAATTTTCAGTCTTAGGTCTAGCAAAGTTTCATTGCTCAATTTATCAGGAACCACACCTTTTTAAAATTATTTAAATATAGAATAGAATAATTAATAGAACAAATGAGTATAAGTACATGTACTTATGCATTTTTGGAATTTTTTAGGAAGAAGAGGACTATTTATCAGACAAATTTGACTCTGTATCAAACAATGGCGCACAAAATGCATCAACATACGTCAAAGAAGAAACTGAATTAGAGATAACATCATTTAGATCTGGAAATGGAAATGGAAATGCAGATGAAAGTTCAAGGTTAATTGATATTTTTAAGAAGATTATTTGCAAAACATGCAGTACGTTGAATATACAGCTAATTCAAAAAATAGGTGCGCTGTAGTATACATGGCGTCTGCTGGATAAAAAAAAGAATGTCAATGCCGTCCGGTTTATATTGACATTTCCGTCTTTGTAGGGGATTTCCGACGTTTCCCGAGTGCTAGATTGTTTCAATATTTCAAGCTGTATTTCCGCTCGAAGCTCTCGCATAAAATTTAGATATTCTGAAATACCGAAATAAAAGATGCATTAAATCTATAGATACAAACTTGAAAATAACACTCTAAATAGTGTCTTGGATTGTGATTCGAACAAGACGATTACGAAAAAGATAGGTTGAGAGGGACCGAAGTTATATTCGGCGAAAAGTTTGGCTTTATAGTGACCCATGGTCATACATATTTGTTTACATTGTTCAAAGTTATTGTATATAGGTATGGTATGACTAGTTTACATTGTTCGAGTATGGCTAGTTTATATCTTATGGCTATGTTCCAGTAGATGCCAAAAAGGTTGTCCTTTGGAAACCTTAACCCAATCCATTGAGCCGCAAATTACGCCCCAGCGCGCCCTATTTATTATTTTACTCGTCCAACGCCAGACGATTTTACTCGTCAATGGGGAAACTCTGCAGCTTAATGGGTTAAACTCTAAGCGTGCAAAGCATAATGGGAGCATGATTTAATCAGTTTGGAAATCATATACTTTTTAGAGACATGGTAAATATCTCCTTACGAGAACAATTCATTCACAAGTTACTACAATATCAACTAATAAGCTTGGAATTTGTGCTCCCATTAAGCTTTGCGTGCTTAGAGTGGTTTAAGGTTTAGAATTTTAGGTTTGCAAAGGACAGCCTTTTTCGATTGCGAATTGGATGTTTACAATATCTTAATTGATAGCTTACAGGCCTTTATTTACAGTACCCCTTTTCTTCAACAGCCAATTACACAATATACAATGGCATCCCAGCAAGATGTAAAATGTAAATAATTTATTTCTAAGATTTTGATTAAATACATTGCTTGGAAGCAGTCAGGCAACTTTTGTATATATAGCCATAAGAACCTGAATAACTTTACATAGAAAGAATGAAATACTCAACATGAACAAATGACTAAAATAGACTCCATACTGTTCTCTTTTCTGATTTTACAGCTTCTGCAAATTTACAGTTGCTCTTTCCGGATATACCTTTTTCTGAACTTGAAAGCATATGCAAGGATACCATTGATTTTGATCATGCATTAGAAGTTGTACTGCACAGGTCTGACAACAAAGACACACCTAATAAAAATGAGGCAGGAAGTATGATCAATGATGAAGACATGAATGGCAATCAGAATGATCTTGAATCACTAACTAGTGCGGGTGTGTATGGTGAATGCTATACTGTAGTAATTGGCATTTTCTTGTAGCATTAGATTGTAAATGCAGACTATAATTGATATGTTTTTAGAGATTCCTGGAACAAGTGGAAATATTTCAGATGAAGAAATGTGGAATACTCCTATGTCATCACAATTTTTTCTTCATGATGGTGATGGCTTTGAATCACTCAAACGTTTTATTGCAAGTGCAGTCAACTCATTCGGAGACGAACTTGATTTAGTGATTGACCGAAACAAGGACATTCTTGAACAGGCTGTGAGAAAATATAAGAACTCGGCTTTTGATATTACAAGACCCTTTAATGTTTCCTTTAAAGGGGAAGCTAGCCTGGATGCAGGAGGCCTAACAAGGGAGTATTTTCAGCTGCTCGTAGATAGAATTAGAAAACAAACAACCGAGTCTATTGTGTTGTTTGAAGGTCAAAATAATCATTTATTGCCAATTCATAATTATGACCTTGTTTCAGGAGGTTTTTTTACATTGGTTGGCAAGATGATTTTACATTCTATCCTCAACAAGTTGTCTATTTAGCAACTGGTTCTCGTGATGCAGAATGGAACACATTACTTTGGAAGATGTGCCGTATCCTGTTTATCAAGAAGTATTGCATAAGGTAAATGTTTTGGGTGTATCCTTAAGTGGGGCCCCATTAAGACATTCAAGATTAAAGTGGCAATTAAGTGAAAAGCAACAGCTGATCCAAGCTGACAAATACAGGGTTTTCTATGTATGTTTGTTGATGTGTTGTACTTGTATATGAGAACTTCTTTTTTTACAGCTTGCTAATTTTCCAGAAGACAGATTGGATGAATTTACTCAGTCAGATAACCATCTTAACATATGTGACTTGCTTTTCTCTGCGGGTTATCCACACTTAACTATCTCGCCGGAGAGACGACAGCTTGCTTTCGAATGCTGCTTGCAGTACGAGGTTATTACCAAGAGGATAACTACCTTGGATGATATGAGAAAGGGCTTGCAGGGTGTTAAAGTGTGGGGAAACACAATTCTTGCATTGTTAGAAAGGTGGCCAGATTTAAAGGAAAAGTTGTTTCCAAGGAAAAGTCAAAATTCAATCGATCTCTGTGAGTTTACTGCCTGCATCGAATTTCAAATTGGCGATTTTGCATTAGCAAACAAAACGAGAGATTACTTTGAAAAATATGTGGATGAGTTAAATGAAAGAGGTGGTAAGTAATCATAACGATAACATATTTTTATGATACCGATTGCTACATTGTAGTTCAGCCTTTCAGTGTTTCCATAAAAATAGTCTGTCTTAACTACTGCTTAACCACATTTTGAGTAGTTAAATTGTAGTTAAATCTAAAACAAATTATTCTGATTGGACAATTAACTCTTGCACTTATCTATAGTTACCTATATCTACCTATTTATACAACTGGCCCCATGCAATCAAATTAGGAAATATGTAATAGAGATCTTTACCATACTTGCTTTTTTGCAATGAAAAAATATCAAGTTTAAAATCAATGTTGATAATAAAATTTTTTTCTCTTTTTTCTGACATCTCATATTATCTTGAAATTATCTAAATTTCTGCCAGCTTTAGTGTACTCAATATTATGTAATGAAACTTTTTATTGAAATATTAAAGCAAATGTAGTTTTATATTGTAGTAAGGCAAGTGTGATATGCCTTAATCTTTATTACCTTGTAGATTCTGGCAATGAAGAAAGGTTACATGATCTGGTACTGTTTTGGACTGGTTTTTCTTCCCTACCATCGAATTCATCGGAAAAGCTGTGGTAAGATTATTGCAGCAAGATCCAAGAAAGACTCTTCCAGAAGCAGACACCTGCCCTCGGATTTTGATGTTACCAACTAGCCATGGGGACTATTGCAAATTCAGAGATGCAATGGACAAAGCTGTTAGTTACGGAAAGTTATATGGTTTTGGAAAAATTTGAACAGTTCCCTTGAACTTGAGAACTGTTTAAAATATAAGTGCAATATATACTATTTATCGATTATAGTTGTGTTGAAAATCACTTTCATGTTTATATCCTTTATATATTATTCTGAGCATATTGTTTGCTCATAACAAAGTTTGTTTTAGTTACGCAGTGTTGTAACGAGTCACCAACATGTCGAGTCACCAACATGTCCAGTCACCCAAAGATCGAGTCACAAGTTGAGTCAATATTGGGCTTCATGCACTTGAGTCAATGGTTACACAATTTGTATGGTGAACAGATAGGCGAACAAAAATGCCTTAAACAATTTCCCTACAAGTGGAAACATGCCTATCTCCATAGAGAATTACTTTTTATTTCTACAAACCCTGTCCGGACTCTTCCCAACCACAATTAACTATTCAACTACAATTATATCTGAGTCAATGACTCGACTCGTTACAACACTATACGTTGTTGGTAAGATACATATGTTACGTCAATATAGGTAAAAATAGTTACAATATACAAAACTATAGCATAATTCAATTGAAATTCCAAACGTCACATCCAGAACATTGTTAAAAGTGTCATTTTATTAACATATTTTATATTCCAAAAGATGTATGGAAATGGGGAAGAAAAACTGTAATTCAACCTTGAATAAATGTCACTGATACAAAAATAATGTTACAAACTTAACTGAGAAATGTTTACAACACCTCATGTACTAATTGATAAGATGCAATCCCATTCCCACCCTCGACAGATTCTTGAATATCATTGCATGCTTCAGACAACTGCTGCACTTGAATGTCACTTAAGGGAACTCTAGTATCTGGAACAACTACTGCATAATCTTCCTGTTCATTTGGTAAAAGTTCTTCTTCATCAACACCATACATTTCAATGTCTGCAAAAGGCACTTCCCCCTCAATAACTGATGAAACTGCAGAATAACAAGAATTTCTCAAGTTTAGCATACCTTGTACCCAGAGTTGGTTAGGAGTAAAGTTGCACTCTGTTGAGACTGGGTGGTTGTTCCACTGTCCAATAAATTCCTCTAAAGCCTTGTTTATCAACTTGACATAAACAAGATGAAGACAATAAAAGTGCAATTCGTTTGATGGATCAAACAGGTTCCTCTGTTCAAGGAACAGGAAGATATTTAGAAAGCGGCTGCAAATAACACGATTCACATCTCGCCACAATCTTTCAATTTGCCTTGATGGCAAATTGTACTGGTGTACAGCATTCTGAAAGTAACCAAGAACTGTCTCAGCTTTATTGTTGGTAGATGCTTTCAAAAACACAATCATTATTGAATAGCCATCAATGCATCCATGTATTACAAACCTATATGGTTCTATAAGCTTGTGATTGCCATCTAGGTGCCTACAGAAATATATACCAACAAAAAATTACATTGGTGGTTTGCAATCAATCTCTTGAGATTTACAAGACAAAGAGATCAGAGGCATAGCCAGGATTTTTGGCTGGGGGGGGGAGGGAGCAAAAACCCAGGTGGGCCAAGCCGCCAGTGACTCGATCGAGACGCAAAGTTTGCACAAGGCATTCTGTGCAGTGCTGGGTAAAATTAATTGTCGACACATGTGATTTTTCACCGAGTCTGTGTTAAAAATTCACTGGTAAAAAAACCCAAATTGGTTTAAACTTCATCTAACCCTCATTTAATACCTATTGAAATAATTGGGGCTAGAAAAGGTATGTGTTTCAAGCTGTGCCGCAAATACAGTTGGCGAACAAGATTTTAGGTTTCACACAGATGTGCAACCAAACATATATGGGTCATTCCAGAAAACATCCATACCACCTCCACCATGGAAATTGGAAATTAACCCCCCTTCAGATGTCCTAAAACATTTACTATTATCAGAAACAATTTTGTCTCCCCTCCAGACGGCAGAAATTTCCTCTGTGGGGGGAGTGTGGATCTTTTCTGGAACGACCCTATTCTACAGAATTTTTGCATTATTGACAGCATGAAGCTATATAATCAAGGATTCCCTTCAGGGGCCCCAAAATTTTGCCAGGGGGGGGGGGCAGGGCCCCCAACCCTGGCGCATTTGATCATATACTAGATAACATGTTAATTTGCGCAATATAAATAATTATTATTATTACACGCCTCTGAAAGACATGGCCATGGGCGTACCGGAAGGAAAAATTTAGGGGGACGGAAAGAAATTTGCCCGACTTTTCCGGATTTTGCACGACAAGTACCAAAAAAATTTTTTTCTGGAATTGATTTTTGCGACTCCCCCCCCCCTCCGTCGCCAAAAACATTTTGGTCAGTGTACCATTTTAGGGGTCAAAAAAATTTTTTCAGACATACCAAAATTTTTCGGAACA